GAGTGTAAACTTCCGTTACATCACCCCCCTCCATGGACAAAGGACGGCCTCCGGGCGTCCACCCTCGTGCTGGTCAGAAAGAACCTCTTCCGCAATCCTACATATGGTACAATCCTTTGCCATACAGACCATACCGATAAATAATTGTAAATACAAAGGTGTAGATATATTACACACACATTATTCTAAATCACTTCTGACACCAAGCCACAGTCCACCCAAAACAAAACCAACATACAGTACAGTAATATGGAACAAAAAAAATTGAGTTGCAGGCTCCGGGCACGGAAATGGTTACAATAAAGATTTTAACAATATGGGAATTTAAAGCAAAATTGATATGAAATTTTAAGAAATATATATATTGAGAAAGAGAAGGCACCAAACAATACGTCTGCTAAGTAACCCTAACCCTAATTTATATAAACATTCCTATTACTAAAATAAAATCTAAATATACCTACCTTAACTCTAGCTTACAACCAAAAACGAGCACTTGAAATCTCGAGCACACCGCATATCGCATATCGAGCAAACTAAATCTCGAACAAACGGAATCTCGAACAACGGAATTTCAAGCCACCAGGATTTCGAACCAACATACTCGAACAAACGGAATCTCGAGCAACAGAGTTTCAAGCAAACAGGATTTGGAGCCAACATACTCGAACAAACGGAATCGCGAGCAACGGAATCCTAAGCCAACCAAGTCTCAAGCAAGCAGAGTTTTGAACAACGAATCAAGCAAACATTAGTGCTTGAAAAAAACATATCAAAACATATCAGAATATATCAGAACATATCAGAACATATCAAAACATATCAGAACATATCAAAACATATCAGAACATCTCAGAACATATCAGAACATATCAGAACATATCAGAACTCTAGCAAAACATATTAAACCCGGAGCAACATATCAACAACTCGAGAATGCATACACACTTATGATTACAGAGTGAATCCAAACACAGGCCAACAAAATTTAACCAGCGTACTTGGCACATGAGTTGACATTCCCTCTCAGATAACAATCACACTTTCACATTCACAAGGCGTCCCTTCTTCCACACGAAAGGCGTCCCCCTCCACAAACTCTCATGGAATATCAGATTCATATGTCCAAGTGCACAAATCTATTTAATTAGCCATAAAAGAGATCATGACTAAGCTACCCATAAAACTATGATACATAATCCGCAAACCTTGGATTGGCACAAACTTGCCGACCAGCTCTGGTTAAATAACCAGTATCAGACACTCTTGCGGTTCTTAATGGCCGACAACTCTGCCTTCAGCTGCCCCAGTTGATCACTCAATCCTTTAACTAAATCTTCCAAAGACTTACTATCCGTAGACCCTTTTTGTACCTCCATAGAAGCCTGTACCAAACTACAGCTACCCGAATCGGCTAACTCTATTGCTTCCCATTCTAATGCAAATGTTACAGCATCATCCAAAGTCTCAAAATTCTGATGTCTCATTTTCAATCTCAAATCCCGATGTTCCACCTTATTGACAAACTCACTAATGCACACAGCCTGTCTAGCTAACGAATCAACCTGAGGAAAAGCTACCTCACAAAGTCGACGAAGTTCCACAGCAAAATCGAGATATGTCTCTCCCGAACGCCTAACACGCGTCTGAAATTCCACCAGCCTTAAAGCCTGAGTACCTTTAGGTCGAAACTTGCTAGTCAAGGATTGAACCACCAACCCATAACTAGTACGAGTCTCCTCGGACAAATCAAAATAAATTTTCCGAGCCCTACCTCCCAAACGGACTCCTATCATACCAGCCATGTGCTTATTATTCCAACTATTGAGTTCTGCATACATCTCAAACGTTCGAATCCAATCTGGCCACTCTAGTTTCTCACCAGTGAAAACTTCCGGAAGCAAAGCCATATTACTAACTCTGATAAACTAAAGACTAACAAATACTAACATACACAGACCTAGAATTACCTAGCAGACATAATTATCACTTAAAGCTAAAGAAAAATAATGAAATTAATGTGGTGCCTTAAATAAAGTTAGTAAAAATGTAATGCAAAAAAGGATAATGGCTTACCGTGAATCTGTACACACTGATGAACTAAGTATTAATTTGTACCTACATGCCAAGTCACACCAACTAACTAAATTAACTAAAATACCTAACTAACTAACTAGATACTAATGTTACTGACAAAAAGCAAAACTCTCCATAAACAAAGTGCCGATCAAATAAATCCTGCCGACGACGCCAATTGGTAAGCGATTTACTTCCACAGCCTCATTCCCGCCTCAAGAGTTTGCATAACTCTTGTTACGCTTACAAAATTTAAACAAGAGGTTCTCCAAATTTTGGGTGACACTCTGAGTGCTTAATGCTTAAATCCAAAATAAGGGACAAACTACAAAATTGTTCCACATACTGATTTATTACAATTTTAAGTATTTGCAAACGATATACATGTGTTCCTAGTTCGGTCACAACTGGTTACAAACTAATGGAAATACTAATATCGAACGATATACCCGTGTTTCAAGTTCGGACACAATCTGGTTACAAACCAATGGAAGTATTATCGACCAGTATACATGTGTTTCAAGTTCAGACACAACTGGTTACAAACCAATGGAAGTATTATCGACCAGTATACATGTGTTTCAAGTTCAGACACAACTGGTTACAAACCAATGGAAATACTAATATCGAACGATATACCTGTGTTTCAAATTCGGACACAATCTGGTTGTAAACCAATGGACGTACTTATCGACCGGTATACATGTATTTCAAGTTCAGACAAAACTGGCTACAAACCAATGAAAGTATTATCGACCAGTATACATGTGTTTGATCAAGTTCAGACACAACTGGCTACAAACCAATGGAAGTATTATCGACCAGTATACATGTGTTTGTTCAAGTTCAGACACAATTGGTTACAAACCAATGGACGTACTAATATCGAACGATAGACATGGAGGCGTTGAACGCTTTCACTAGTCACAGTCCTCAAACATATCTAACACACTCGGTCGACACACCTGGTCCAAAGTTTTGAAAACTCTTTAGCCTAACCAACACTTGCACACAAATTCCAGCAGAAAATATTCTTAAACTACTGCTAAATCTATCCCATTATAACAAACATGATAACCTAAACAACAACAAAAAGTAAAATGGTGTGACTGGGCAAATAAAAACAACAAACTACTACTAATACAATTATCTTACCATACCGAACGCACGGGTGCACAGATTCCGGCAAGCCTGTCCCCGGAGCCAGACGCTGACTGCCGCTCGTGCGACACGCACGAGCTTAAGTATCCCTTTCCAAAACCCCGGATGTAAAAACACCCGTATGAACCAAGGTAACTTCCTGTTCCGGTTGTGGCGAGTGTAAACTTTCGTTACACTAGGCCATCTCCAGTCATTAACTCACCTCAAACGTCGTTACAACCAAGATCACAGCACCCACCATCGCAAACTGGGATTTCGAACGTCACCATAACACACAAGCCCAAATACAGGGATTCCGACATGCATTGTAAGCCGGCCGGCCGGCCGCCAATGCAACCGAACGCCTCACACCCATGGCCAAGCCCACCCCACGGACTCTCGATAAAAAGAACCAAAGCATAGATAAGTTGCTACCTTATCTCCCCTACTTCATCAAAACTTATATTTATCCTCCCACTTTCATGTTCCCCAATGCAATGTTTGTACTTCAACGTATAAACCATGTAAATACACTGTAAATACTCATCAATTCTCATCCAACTGTAAATTATTTCATTGATTGATTGTTTGTATATCACCCATTATCTTGTATATACCCACCTACCCCTACCACCGTCCCCCCCCCCCCCCCCCCCCCCACCCCTCTCCCAAATTATGGACACTACATACTCGCCCCCCATGGACCTCCCCTCCCCACTCCCGTCCACTTCCACTTTCTCCACACCCGATCCCAAAGAATTTCCAGGCCTCCCCACTACACAAAACATAAATATAATACCCCCAAATTTTGGACTAGACCCGGAAATCATCACCCCCTCCCGAACCATCACTAAACAACTATTCCCCCCCCCCCCCCCCCCCCCCCCAAAAAAAAAAAAAACCCTAAAAAACCAACATCAACAAAAATACAAATATACCAGGCAATAACACAGCACACCTCGCAGCAAAGATAGCCACCCAACAGCCCTCATTAGAAATCTATTTCCACACCTCCAAAGCAGAGATAAAAAACAAATTTAAAAAGTCTATAAAACTTCAAAACTACAACAATATAATCCAAAACACCAACTCGCAATGGCTCAAAACATATTTTACGCAATACAATCTCAAATGCCGCAACTTTAACAGCTCTAACCACTTGGACAATATAATATCAAGAATCATCAGCGGAAATACCAACCTCAACCACAATCTACACAAACAAGGCAGACACCCGGACGGGAAATGTACATATTGTAATCAACCAGAAGACTTGTATCATATTTTTAACAGCTGTCCTTTATATTGCACCCTTCACTCCGAACTTTATCACGCTATCCCTCCTAACTATAAACAAAACCTCACACTACTTTTCAACCCTTCCAACCCTATCCCCATCTTCAACGCAATAACACAATTCATCATCAAAGCCGACCTTATAGACCGATTTTAGAACCTCCCAAACAAATCTATACAACATAACAATGCCCTAGTAAACAAACACCCCAACTTTCGGATCGGGATCGAAATTTCCAACACGAGCCGTCCTCTCCGACGTCCGTGCCTATAACCCCAGTTATCCATACACTAACTTAATACAGTCGTTAAGCCAGCCGGTGTCAGAGAGTGGAATTTCCCCCCTAGCCTAATTTCCCCCCGGAAAAAAGGGGCTATATAGCCATACTTCCCACGGAGAGCACACACATCTTGGCTTGGACTCTCGCCCTGCGCACACGTCCTCCCAAGCTCTCCAAACTACCAAGCTGACAATGAGAGACCTCTCAATGTCGTTACCGAGGGAGCTTGTCTCCATCCTGGAGCCTTTGTTGGCTTACCGGGTTGGGGACTACTCCCTCAAGACTTCCTATAAGTCACAATCGTCCACGCTCTCCATCACCTTTGACCTCGGTCAAAGGAAGAGGCCCCTGGTCAAACCCCCGGCCAAGACCAAGCCTCAGATGGCCCGCACCCCGGCCCCTGACCCTCCTGCACCCCGCCCGGCGCAGAAGAAGAGGCCCACACGGGAAAAGAAGACCCTTCCTCCAGTCCTGGACATGGAGATAGAGGCCTCCCTTCCCACCACCCCGCCTCCCTCGGCAGCTGCGTTGGAACTCGCTCCACTCGAATCCAGAGGGGAAGAGCCCTTCCGTTCGCCCGAGGGCACCGGACACGGGAGAAAGAAGAGGAAGAGGGGAGAAATCCCATCTCCCGAACCAGCCTCCCGACCACCCACCACCACTGCGTCCACGGATTGCCAGACCTTGCCGCCCTCCCTGAGCGACAGCTGCATCCAGACCAGTCCACCAGAGCCCCCCTCCCTTAGCCACGGCCAGACCCAGACCACCCCGGTCCAGGTCGAGGATAAGACCCTCAGAACCCAGCTTCTGGAGGAAGCTCACAACGTCATTCGGTATTACAAGGCTCCCAACACGCCCAATACAACCCACCTCCACCGGCACAACAGAGCTGATGCCCTCATCCGACACCTCCGGAGCCCCCTTCAAGCTGACGCAGCTGCTGGGAACAGAGGCTTTCGAGCACGAGATCTACAGCTACCAAGATCTCTCCCACTTCTTCTTGGACTGCGACGTCAGGGCCAACAAGCACTTCGTCGCTCACTGCGCCGCCCTCCTCACCAAGAACCTCGTCAAGACGCCCAACCCCAAGGATGAGGCCCTAGCGAAGAGACTTCTGGGAGGAAATCGCCGCTAGACACCATGCTCGCCCGCCGACGCCGTGCCTTCCCACGCTCTTCCAACTGTCTTCAGTAACAATACGTCACATTGCTAGTTGAAACACACTTTGCTAGTTGATTTCTATCAGGTCTGCACTGTAAACTTGAACGGCAGTCGTTCTCCTTATCATGGTTGCAGTGACATATCACTTTTCTGTCATCGAGAATCCTCAGTCGCTCACTGCCAAGTATATTATAAAGTATATTTACAACGTATATAGAGCATATATCTGTGCGTGCTCATGGAGTTTCTTGCCCCGATCAGAGGTCCGTATATTTTGCATTCCAGAACTTCCCAGCTACATGTGAAATATGCAACCAAAGCTGCCTGTCAGGCGCTAGAAGATTACGAATTCACATTACCATTACCACATTAACTCTTTGGTACCCATTTACTGTTTGTGGACAGAGGCATGCATGAACAAGATCTTGCCAAAGGTGACGCCGCAAGTTTTTCAACTCGTGTTTCAGTGGAAGATATATACTTCAGTACTGTTTCCGTCATCTGTTCATTTACCAACTGATGAGCGGGTTCTGTTTAGTGCACAGGGTTGTGAACTGCAGGCTATGCTTGCGACAACACTTTTAGGACCTGTACTAATATCAGCCCTTAGGTTAAATAACTAAAATAACCACAGTGACTAGCAAAAATCTCAGGATGCAAATTCAACAGTCTGGACTCTCTTTACAATCAACGTGTTTTACAGCTTACAAATAGAATTTTAGACCAACCAAATCACTTTTTATACCCTTGTTATGACGTTTTACCATCTGGAAGAAGATATCGTGTACCTTGTTTTAAATCAAATAGAGCCAAATCTTCATTTGTTCCCGTTAGTATTATATTTTTAAATGATGAACCAAGTCAACCTGTCTCTTAATCATTGTTTAATTCTTATGTGCTTGTGTTAATTCATATTTTATCTTCTTTAATAGTGCATACTTTGTTGCTTTATGTTATGCATGTATGTTCTGTGTGTATCTTTGTATGCATGGAGTGTTATGTAAGTTTGCATGGAGTGCTATGTACTAGTGCAGATATATGTGTTGGTCTAAAATGGTATTGTTCGTAATCAGTGTATGCATACTCTTTTCACTTCAAATATAATCCAAATTCCCCTCGGGGTAATAAAGCTTTATTCTAAATAACACTAACGGGGTTCGAATCTGGGACCTCTTGCTCTTCAGCATGATAAAGGCGACAGTGACATTTTCAGCACCATTAAAACCATAACATTGGTGAACAGAATAACTATGTAAAAAGAATTTTATTCATTTTACTGAATACTAATGGAGTTGGAGTTCAAGCTGGTCCATTGCGCCAGAAACACAGGACAAAACTTTGTCCAGAAATTCTAAAATATAACTGTCTTCCACTGTTTTGCTGTTTGTTGATTCCAACACACTCTTAATCACTGCATTGTAGAAAATCACTGACGTGAAGTTTTTACTAGTATCCAGCAACAGTTCATAAAGAGGTTCTCTGGCATGAATAACAAGTGGCAAGTCGGAATCGTCTATGTTTTCAACGGCATTGCCTAAAAGTCGGGCCGGGCCGGGCCAAGACGGGCCAAAGTGTTATTGGCTAATTACTTCATTATCGGCGATCATACCTACATATTATTGATGCAACATACACACATGACATTACTGAACAATCACCAACCAAAACCGTGAAACATAATTAGGTATTTCGGAGTAAATCGCTTGAAATCCAGAAAGTGGAGCTGTGTGTAAGCGTCGCTGATCTAGGTAACATGTAAAAGAGCAATCGTTAAACGAAATAAGATTTGAAACGTATCAAATACTTCTAGCTATCGCGATACAAATTTCCATCTGTCGGCATAGCGTGCGTGTATATTTATAGGATAGCACTATATCTATATAAATACCACTTAATAATGTCACTGTTCATCATGTATAAAGCAGACACGTTGGTTAAAGTAGACCTCTTCTCCCCATACTCTCAACAGTCTCACAAGTGTTCGGTCCGACTTGGCCCGGGCTGTCAAAATCAACTTAAACCTCACAGATGTAACATGAAATGGATTCACACCTATAGATTAGTATTATATCTTCTTCTTCTTCTTCTTCTTCTTCTTCTTCTTCTTCTTCTTATCGGAGATTTAACGTGCGCTTTCCGCATGTAATAAATTACATTTAGCGTATCTCGCATACGGGGAAGCACTTATACTAACTTGGGGCGGTTGCTTGGGTACACCTTGCCGCTGTCGTTCTGGTAGCAGGGGTTCGGATGAATCTTGTGCTGCTCCAGGATGAGGCTGGCCTGCTGTTTAAGTTCCACACGGACATCCTCCTCAACAACTGGTTCCTGGACCGGGTCAGTCTGGACTTGGCTGGTGATGAGGAAGGGGCCTGGTGTTGTGGCGGCCTGAGTTTCCGTGGACTTGCACTCGATGGGCTTGTTGGCTGTTGGAGATGGGAGGGGGGAAGCGTCGGGGGAGAAGATGCTTTTCCTCTTTCTCTTCATCCTCCAATGTCCTGTCCCCTCGGGCGTGCGAAAGGGTTCCTCCCCTCTGGATTCGAGGGGAGCGAGTTTCAATGCTGCTGTTGGGGGCGGAGGGGTAGTGGGAAGGCTCTCCTCGATCTCCATGACAGAAACTGGTGGAGTCTTCTTTAGCTTGGGTGGACTGGCCTTCTGTACCGTGCGTGGTGCAGCAGGAGTAGGGGCCGGGGTGGGTTTCTCCTTAGGCTTGGTCTTGGCCGGAGCTTTGACCAGAGGCCTCTTCCTTTGACCTAAGTCAAAGGAGATGGAGAGGGTAGAGGTGTTGGACTTGTAGGAAGTCCTGAGGGAGTAGTCCCCAACCGGTAAGCCAGCAAGGGCTCCAGGATGGAGACAAGCTCCCTCGGCAGAGACTTAGCGAAGTCTCTCATAATTGCTAATGAGTTGTGAGAGCTGGGAAGGACACGTCTGCTCAGGGCGAGTGTCCAAGTATTATATCTACCTAAATATCACTTCTCTGTGTCTCAGATCGCGGTTTTTAAAGAAAACAAGGTGCTCAAAGTGAAGCCCTTTTCCCTCTACATTCTCAACATAGTCTCTATTAGAAGTGTTTAGCTTGTGCTCGGTCCGACTTGGCCCGGGCTGTCAAATCAACTTTAAACCTCTCAGGTGTATCATCAAATGTGTTTATATCTGTAGCTTAGTATTTTATCTACCTATAAACCACTTTATAATGTCACAGTACATCGTATTTAAAGAAAACAAGGTGCTCAAAGTGAAGCCCTTTCCCTCTACATTCTCAACATAGTCTCTATCAAAAGTGTTTGGCTTGTGGTGGGTTCCGACTTGGCCCGGGTTGTCAAAATCAACTTTAAACACACAGATGTATCATCAATGTAGAGGGAAAAGGGCTTTACTTTGAGCACCAAGTTTTCTTTACATACCGCGATCTGAGACACTATAAAGTGGTATATAGGTAGATATTATATTATTTTCTTTGGAACATCTATAAGATGTACAGCTACATGTATTTACCAAAAGAAAGAATCTACGCTTTTACTTCATTTCATAAACATTTACTCATTGAACATCTCCAACAGTTTTGTCCATGTTGAGATCCACTGAAATGGTTAGTTCACTTGTTACATTTATATAGAACAGAACGATATTTGTGATTAAATATGAGTGTGGATACATTTACCTTGGCTATATTTTAAAATTCAACAATAGCTTGCGTGTGGTTTGTTTGGAAGCATAAAATCAACTATTGTTTGTAAAAACCATTTGTGTGTGTTAATATATATGTTTTTTTAAAGGAAGAGGTTTTTGAATAAATATTGTTTTGTGTGTTCACAAACCCCTATCATGTTATTATATTTTCCTGAATAACATGTTGTTTGCATGTAAAATAAATGTCCCTGTTCACCTATGTAGAAAGTCAATAAGCGAAATAAAACTGAGTAACAGATTGTATATTATAGATCCATAGAAATACGATTGCATAGACGATCAATTCAGAATACAACAGGTGTAGGATGTGGCTAATTGAAATGTATCTCGATGACTAATTTAAATGTATTTCGCAGGTAATAATCAATAAACATTGTGACAGAAAAACAAGTGAAGGATTGAGTTGAATTTTAGTTTTGCGAAAAAGGTCCGTAGTTTCTGTGGATGAAACTAAGTATGACAATGTTGCAAATGATCACTTCTTTGAATTCATTACGGATTCCTCAACCTGTATCGAGGAGAATTGTTTACAGTTAAGTAAAATTCTAATTAAGATTTCTTAAAGCTGTCACGGTGGCAAATTAAAACTTCGATATCATGGTACACAGTTCTATTGTAAAGTCAGATTGGGAGTTCGAGATGGCGCTATGTATTTTTATCTCGAATTTGAAATAAGCGGTTAAATTTATATGTTTTGTTTGTTTGTTTGTTTGTTTGTTGTTGTTTTTGTTTAACGCCACACTCAGCAATATGCCAGCTATACGACGGAGGTCATGCAAATAATCAAGTCTGGACCTGACAATCCAGTGATTGACATCACGAGCATCAATCCACACAATTGGGATAAGATGACATGCATCCAATCAACTAAGTCAGCGAGCCTGACAACCAACCCGATCCCGTTAGTCGCCTCTAACGACAACCATAGTCACCTTTTAATACAAGCATTGGTTGCTGAAGATCTGTTCTAACCCTGATCTTCACAGGTCCAAATCTATATGTTTATTTATGGTGAGGCGGTCGTGATCGGAGCATAGGTTCGAGAGTTCGGTACACACATTCGTGGTAAAAATCTCTCATGTTGTGGATGATAGTGATTTTGTCATGTTTTAAAGAAATGTCACCACTGTCATGCTTTTGATGGTACACAAAACGTAAGCTTTACCTCGAACATGCTAGTTCCGGTCACAAAATATATGCTTTACCTTTTACTGATTTTTGTATTGATAACATTACAACGTTTC